TTCTAACATTATCTTTTGATAAATATATTCTATTTTGGCGCTATTTTTACAACTTTTTTTCAATTATGTACATTCATTTTTTGGATTAACTTCACTATGCTCACTAAATCAGTAATAATTTGCGTGCCTGACTTGTTTTAATATATAATAATTTAGTGACACTCTGACCTATGTTTAGTTCTAGCGTTATGTCTTAAAATACAATGGATTTCTATTACATATACGCACATTCTCTAAAATTTGAACACCGAAATTGAAACTAAAAAATTTAACAGCTAGCCCAACTGTATAGACCTAGGTGTAAAAAGAATTCACTTTGATATTTAAAACAATTAAATCTAAACATTTATAACAATATTAATACTAGCATATTTCCAGTAGTGCAACTGTAAGAAGTACTATAAAGTTTAATCTAGCTAAGGTCGTCACATGCCTTATTTGTACGTGCTATATTGACCTTAATATGCAGGATATTATATAGGATTTAACATATCTTATTTGCATATTGTACGCATAGACTATAATGACGTCACTAAAACAAGTCAGGCACGCAAATTGGAGTTCTTCTTGCGGTCGGCTTTTATGTCTGTCGAAAAGTATCCAGTTCATTATTACACTTTTACACTGAACAAAATAATGTTTCTGTTTACAAGTCAATTACATACAAGTCAATTTTACTAACAAAGACCAAACTTCGAAGGTAAAACCGACTTCAAATATCTCTCTCTTCATTTTGCAATTGATTTTCATGAGCACCCAATACAAAAAGAAATTTTAAAATCCGTTCATAAATGACGTAGCTCTGAGGTAATAAACATAAGAAATAAAACCGTTTAAAAACTTTTAAGTTAAACGGTTTTATTTTCTATTTTTTTTTTGTGCACTGAAAACTACAATATTGTATTGTCATCTAAATTAAATGTGTGTACCAAATTTCAGATCAATCTGACAACGGGAAGGTGCTTAAATTTCAATTTCTAATTTTGACCCAAATAAACAAATAAATTCCGTACGTGTCGAGCTAAATAAAACCGTTTAAAATACAAACGAATTGAGACCATCCTCCTTTTTTGAAGTCGGTTGATAAATACACTCATTCGTAATAGTGTGATAATTATGCACCGATGATTATTTTCTAATATTCAATGCTTTGTCATATCTCATTTAAGGAGTTTTCAGAAACTTGCAGCGTTTATTATCGCGGAGACAAAATTCACTCGACTAATTTGATTTGTGATAATATGCGTAAAATGATTTTTTTTATTTCACAACGTGTTTTACTCCCGTTAATAAAATGATTCATTATGTCCCGTACACTATTAATATCAACTTAGCCAGCGCGATCATTGTGACGGGACAACGCAGCAGTTTATGCTGTTGAACGAATGGGCTTTAATGGGCTCGTACGGGGAAGTACCACTATTCACGGAAGCCCAGAGTCAAGTAGAAGTATTAATATTTTTGGATTTCATCTGGCAATTGAGATAACCCTGCAATTGCGTGGGATCTTCCAGAGCCGCCCGTTTGAATCAAATATTATCTAATGAAAGTCAACTCTATAATGTCGTAAAAACAAAGTAAAATCCCTCACAAGCTCAGTAAAGTAAAAGCTTATGTACTTTTGCTACTGCAAATAACAATACTACAATTTAATACAGGCTATCAAGTTGTTACTTTTATGAGACAGACTGAAGGTAGACCCAGCTAGGCCTCTAATTGCACGTTATGAGTTTGCTTAACATGTACGGAACGTTGATATGTAGAATTGCAACACTTATACAGATTCGGAATTGTTTTGTTGCACGTTGGCGATGCTAACGCGTCGTTAGCGCCAACATCCGCGTACGATGTAATGCACTTTAAAATGTAGAGCAGAGTTATGCCAATCAAGGTCCGTACATAAATAATTATATACAATTACCGGCGGTGTAGTGAACGGTCAACTTCGATAAAGGTCACGGATACAAATATTATTATATATTGTCGATATTTTCAAAAACTACGTCACGCGGAGAAATAATTGTCTTACAGTCATAACCTGTCTGTGGTCAAACTTTTCACGACTTGCAACCGCGCTACTCGAATTATTTATTATCTCTCGCACCTTCGTTAGGAATCATGTTAAAGGAAACTAAAACAACCTTGCTCGATTATCTGAAACTGCATTGGTTAACGCGTTTTATAAGCGTGTTCGCAAAATTACTTTGTTACGTGCACCAATGACAGTAGACTTGTTGCTCAGAAAACAGACCTGTGTGAGGAAGTGTGTGAAACTTGTTTATATTTATCAATTGATTATCAATGTATTGTAACCAGGATTAACATCGAGTTTGTATTAAAAAAAAACTTGAAATATGCTTGCAAAATTCTGCGCTTTAAAAATTGCTACGAAAAATCACTAGGAGTAAAGTATTTAAATAAAACCTTTTTTCTTTGTTAGTGGACTGCCGTACTCCAAATGTGTTGACTTTCTAAATTTATAATAATAAGCACATCAAAAGTTCCTTTCATTCTAAAGCAATGGATGGAGTTTTTTTTTTACTGTACTGGCAAAACTACCGCTAACTCCGATTGAATACGTCAAGCCAATGTTTTATTAGCAAATTGGCCTACATGGTTCCTAACAAAATTAATAATCTTTTATTATTATTTCATTTTTGTAATCTTAAATAAAGAAAGATCTACGTCATCTTTTTTTATTGCGGACTTCCTAACAATAAAAATCTTCCAATGGAAGTTTCTTATGTGCTAATAAAGATTGTAACATATCTTAATTTTAAAACTTCATTCAAATTCATCCAGCCATTGGGGTATGAAGGGGGATATAAATTTGACTTCGGACTTGCGAGACAATTCACAAATGCAAGCGAGCGTATACGCGTTGCGAAACCGAACTTCTAACATACCTGTCGACCCGTGGTAGGTAGGTCTTGGGAGATTGACGGATTCCGCAATAATTTGCGGGGGCAACGACCCGGCGTGGACGACCGGTTGCCGCCAAAAAGTCCAATGGCGGCCCTGTACGAACGTCGAGCCATCAGAAAAAGGGCGCGGCAATCCTTTACATTGCCGGACGCAGACGATGCCCGTACCATGAGACCTTCTACTAAAGATTCCGCGTTGCATTAGCGATGAGATACGTAAACTTTTTTGTGGATTCCGTTCGGAATTTTATCTCCTTCGCGAAACGCTTAGTTAAATCGTAATCGGAGTCTTTTTAGAACATCTATGTCTGCGCATGTGCTGGTCTAAAACTACACGAATACAATATCAAAGTAATCTACAGTAAACTATTCAAAACCACAAAAAAAAAAAACCTATCGCCTGTTATTCCTAAACTCATTAATTATGCTTGATACGCAATTAATGCAACGTTAAGTCATTTAAGCAACAGAATATGCCAAGGAAAAAGACACACGCTCGAAAAATATATTTCTAGGTCAGTCGGGTAATAAACTCGTCATGATCTCGTCACTTGTGAAAATTAAAAAAATTGTATGCCTTTTTTATAGCAGAATAAATTAACATTAAAAAATAAGCTTTAATAACAAGCCATTATTTATATTGTCTAAAAAAAATAACTTTAAAGTCCATCAACCCATCACAACATTATTCATGTTTTTCCTATAAAAAAGAAATAGTCCGTCTAAAGGAATGGTTGCCAATTTTTCCACTTGTCTGCTTAGCACATATTTTTTTTACTGTTCTATTATATTATTATATCAAATAATTTAATTTAAACTTACTTAAATACCGATTTTTCCGATTAATTCCATGAAAACTCACTGACTCATATTTGGTCTTGTGTTTAGTAACCAGTCAAATTTGAGATTAAATAAGACCGGTAAAACATTTGCATTGGTCTGTCGACAACGTTGTGGTCAAAAGACATGATGTCATGTGTTTGTTGATTCGAAATGTGTCAGCCATAAAATGCTACTGCGAACTCCAAACTTCTGTTGGCATACCTAAGTATAATTGGTAATTTTGTTAATGACGGTAATCGTGTCAAACTACGCAAGGTTTTTGCCCCATCGAACAGACGAGAAACAGTTCAGTTGCCTCAATATACCTTTATAATCATCCTTATCATTTGAGCCTATTTGACGCCACTGCTGAACATAGGCCTCCCAAGTAGACTGCCAAAATACGATCCTGAGCCACCTGTATCCATCGACTACACGACTTTTCGACTTGTATGATAAACTATTAAAATTATTATTATTATCAACAGTGGAAGGAGATCCCACTAGAAGGGGCATTTAAAACTTGCCACCACTATAAAGTCTTCTAATACCAGTAAATAATCAGCTGTTGTGTTTTACTAATACGTTGTCAGGTCGACAGTGATTCCGTTGGAAACGCGTACTTAAATCCTGACTTCGAACCGTAATTGCTTATATGGAAGATGAATTGGTGATGATCCTCATGTTAGTAGTAAGTAGTCTTGCAACAAATAACTTCGCAATTTTTGATGGGGTAGCAGGCCATCTACCGATAACACAGTATACCCATATAACATATATTTGGGATTCGGTTGTGATCAAATACGAATTATACGTTTAGGTTAATTAGCAGCAAATTTTAGGGTTCCGTAACCAAAGGGTAAAACGAGACCCTATTACTAAGACTCCACTGTCTGTCTTTCTGACTGTCCGTCTGTCACCAGACTGTATCTCATGAACCGTGATAGAAACAATTGAAGTTTTCACCAATGCTGTATTTCTGTTGCCGCTATAACAACAAATACTAAAAAATATTTAAGTGGGGCTCCCATACAACATTAAACATGATTTTATTTGCCATTTTTATAAATAATGGTAAGGAACCGTGCGTGCTCGAGTCCGACTCGCACTTGGCCGGTTCTTTTAGTTACGCCAACAATAGAAAAATGCGAGACGGCGCGTTTGGAGTTTATATTAAGTGCAGAGCCTTTTTAAAGGTCTCCTTTGTTAAACTGTCTCTAAAACAGGTTTTATTTTGCAGAAAAAGCGGACACAATGAAGCTCGACGAGAAAAAAGGGTCTATAGTGTTGGACAACTTTAATTCAACGTAAGTAATAATAGCCATTTACATTTAAAACTTGCTACTTAATGGATTTCTTCTATATGACCTGCAAAGATAGCGGAAGTCACTCCTTATTTTCAATTGATGACCCGAATGGCGTAGTGGGTAGTGTAGCTGCCTCCGGCGCCATAGGGTGTGGGTTCGATCCTCACTACTGGAAAAATATTGTGTGATGAACATAGTGTTTTTCTAGTGTCTGGGTGTTTATATAAATGTAGAATATGTATTTATTTACAAAGGAAAAGTATGTCTATCAGTTTTCTAGTACCCATAGAACAAGCGTTGCTTAGTTTGGGACTAGAGAACGTTGTGTAAAAAGAATGTGTCCTAAGAATATTTAGTTATTTATTTATTTTATTAATTATGTCTCTAAATTTCAATGGTTTTTTTTTAAATTATTACTTCAGTAACCTTCAAGTTAGTCATAAATGTTTTGTGTGCTGTTCTCCTGCCTGAAGATCCAGGCTACGTCACTCACCAAACGAAACGGTATATTCCACTCATCGTTAGTCCTCTGTACGTGGTACTTACCCAGACTTGCCCATTCGCGCAGTAGCGGAACTAAATCCTTACATCTGATCGGCCTTTCGAAGTCTGCTTGTTAATCTATGAAATCGTGATGGACCCTGCGACATACTCAAGAATATAGATCGTGGACTAAGAACACAGTGACGCGCACAAATGATTTTTATTTTATAGGTTTTTTGCATTTCTTAGGTCTGTATCAATTTTTGTCATATTTTTGTGAAAATATCATATGGAAACCTATATATATTCTGAATAATAATATAAACAAAAATATTTCTAAGATATGTGAAGTCTACCAATCTGCATTGGAGTCGCGTGGTGGATTGTGACCTTCTGTACAGAAGAGGTATTTGCTCAGTAGTATTGTGTATGGTGAAAGAGCTACTCTTCGTTCACCTTAGAGACTAAACATGCATCGTGAAACTAGAATAACGGTGGTTATTTTAGTTTCAGATTTAAATCTACACTGTTGGGGTCAAAAGTCGTGAAGAATGTATTATAAATCTACGATCTTCTAAATTAAGAAGAAATTTGTAAAGGAGCTTCGTTAAATTGCGTGTTCCAGGGCAAATTTGGCGACTAATCCCGGTTTCCAGTCGACCCTCAGCCTCGGCTCAAAGGAAGTCATCAATGAAAAGGCTTATAACCCGTTCGAGCATCGAAAAGTCGAACACCCCAATTCGTAAGTATTGATGTTAATCACAATGAAAAGATATAAAGCTACAGTCGAATTGAAAGGGCGATAATAATTCTATTATAATTTTATCTAACGGTTTTCGATTCTTTGCTAACGAAAAGTTTGTTATATGTTCGTTTATTAAAAGGTGGCAACCCTACGGGAGTTACAAATAATAATCGGGGGCGGTTATCAATTAAAATCAGGTTAACCGACAGCACGCTTGCCACATTATCACATAAAAAAAAATTAAAGATAAGACATAAAGAAAAAAACGTAACAACTTGTATAATATAGTTACTTCAATTACCACTACCGTCACACAATTAAACCAGCTTCGATCTTATCCGCCTTTCCTTTCACAAAACAATTGGTACTGCTATTTCTTCTTAACCAAATTATGATAATTTATTTCCCACTCAGCCAATCCCAACATCTACATATAAATACATTTTTAATAATAGACGAAATAATTGTCTACTTCCTTCCCAATTTCCTTAACGTAACAAATAATAAATACATCACATAAAACATTCGTACCTACATTATTTATCTAAGAATTCAAATAGAAACTTACTGACTTTTAAAAACTCGTTACTTGGATTGGCTTGACTGAGCTGGAATTTTAAAAGTTAAAAAAAAAGAAATTTTTTACTTAAACTAAACAACCGCCTGTCACTTAAGCGCCGAATAATTTACGGTGAAATATGGTGTAGCTGGAAACATTGTCATAATCTAACCTTGTTTCGAGTACACAAGCGTATCGGTACTTTATATAATGAATATAATATAATAACGTAGTGATATAATTAAGACTAAGTAGGAAAAATACAAATGAATTTCGGGTGGCAAGCTACTTACAGTAATAAATAAAAATAAATAAAAAGCCTTTTATTTCTTGCTACACAATAGAAATTGAAAATTAAAAAAAAAAGAAACAATGTGCCGTTATGTAGAATAAATTTATCTTATCCTTTAAACGAGCAATTCTTGTATATATCAATATATAATCGGAATCTCGGAAACGGCTCCAGCGATTTTCATGAAATTTAGTATGTGCGTAGATTCGGGGGAGAAAAATCGATCTGGCTAGGTTTCATTTTTAGAAAATATCCGTTTATCCCTGTTTTCACGGAATCAAAAATATCATTCGAATATGACGGTAAATTTCGCTGCAAAAAAATTGTTGTAATAGCTCGGTCGGTAATCGGGCGGACCCGAAATAGACGGACGATCATTTACACACTTATTTTTTACTTTTTTTTCGATTCTAGATCATTGCTTTCTTTATCTTTTATTTTTAGTCGATTTGTTATTTTGTTATTTTTTTCCCATTTTTTTTAAGTTCTTTCTTTTGTGAAAAACACCAGTTCATGTTTTCTTATTATTACATCGGTAAGATTGAAAAATATTATGCATATTTCATTACTTAATTTGTATCTAAATGTAATTTCCAAAATACTAGATTTATCAAAAAAAAAACAAATCGAGCAAAGCTCGGTCCTCCAGGTACTTATAATTATAAATGTAAATTTGTAAGAAACCCTCTCAACGAAAGGTAAAGGGCTCCTCCAGAGTTAACCAGCAGATTTGTCCTCTGCTACTCGCATCCAGTTGGTACCTCGTATTTTATTTATCGGTCTGCCCCTTTTTCTTTGGCCCGATGGTGTGGCCTAACCATGACGTCGTTTTTGTGGTCCAGCGATTGTCCAGCCCACCGCCATTTTTGTCTTCAGCTAGTACCTATACTACCTATAGGTAGCAATTATTATAAAAGATGCTTATGTATGAATAATTGTTTGTTCCATTAGCTTGTGTGATTTTTTTATATATTAGAATGTGGCAAGCGAGCTGGGGGTTCACCTGATGTTAAACGAAAACCGCCGCCCATTAAACTGCGATACCCGCAGTATTGAAATGCGTTGTTTCCGTTTAATTAAGTGGGCCCCGGCTACCTCTTTCACCAAACGAAACGCAACATGACACTTTACGCCGGTCTTCTTAAGGTCATGGTGGTTACCTGGACGGTACAAGTAATATGAATACACCTAAAATCACCAGTCTCTTATTGTTCTCTTGATTTTAAGCGAATGTTATACATATTAAATGAAACTAGTTTACGGATTTTATCGCGTTTTCTATTTTGATTTGAACTCCCGACGTTTCGAACCCTTTCCAGCGTTCATGGTCACGGGACAGACAGTAGTGGTAAGTACCATGACCCACTTTATGAAATGGTAGCAGTTGCGTGAGATACAACTTATATCGGGATATCACTTAATAATAGATTTGTCGCCAGCTCGTTTGCCATCTTCTGACATACAAAAAGAAATAACCGATATTAAAATACTTTAAGAATCCTTTAGTAAGATTAATGACTTTCAGAGAACTTTTTCATGTCATCTAATATATCAGCAATGATAATTTTGCCATAAAGCTTTGTAATATATCATTTTTCTTCTTTCGGTCAAAAATCATACTATTCATCATCCCTCAACGCTGTATGCTATCTTGTTCCATTAAGATAAATCTTTTCGGACTCAATTTCGTTTGTTCAACGTCAATGAAACAGAGTACATGAAAACGCGATAAACGTAATGTTACACAATCGTAATGTTACGTATAAACGTAATGTTTATACAAAAATTAGTGTAGTAGTAGATTTTTTTGAAGTTACCCTACTTTTGGCACGTTTAGAAAAAAATATTGAGAGGAAAATTTTTACGAAATGATGAAGTTCGTTGCAAACTACGACCAACTTTATCATTTCGCTAATAACAACTTTTTACATTTACCTATAAGTCCAAGTTATTTATTTAACCGTTATCACTTCTTATTCACGAACAGAGTACTGGCACAGGGGATAAAATTTATTGTTATGTTTATTTTGTTAGTCTAAAGTAGTATAAATTCTTACGTGGGTAATAACGCACTAGCTCAGATAAAATCTTATACGCTATATTCTTTAACCCGCCTACGCTGTAATTAGACGGAACGACAGACACCGGTGAACTATTTATTCATTTTAACATCATAATCCCAACAAGACCATATCTTATGCTTGAGTTCAGTTAACCCGTCATTATGCTAACTGAATAAAAAAATTAAGCATACATTATACGTGAAGGCAGTCTACAGGAATAGCGGGTAATCTGCGTCCATGAAACAATGGCGAAATTATGATACAAAATTCAACATCGCAATAATAGTGTAATATATCACCTAATAGTGTAAATATAACACCTAATAGTGTTACGTCCACTATTCTACTTTTTATGTGCAAAAAGTTTTACATAAATAAATAAAATAAAATAAACAATTGTCCTAAATCCTAATATGATTGGCACCCCTGCTCTTTTATTCTAAAAGTGTACTGTACTCAAGATTTTTACTAAAGATTTTATTTAAAGTTGAAAATTGAATAACTTTAAAATTGTTGAAATATTTTATTGTACTGTTTGATGACTCCGTGGCGCAGTGACCAAAGTATTGACTTCGGCGTCGGGGGTCGTGGGTTCGATTCCCCAGATAGTTGTTTCGCATCTGGGTGTTTGTCCGCGTGAAATTTATGTTTGTAAAACGTCCTTATAACACAGGATTATTTTATCCTAAAGTAAGGGCAACGTTTTACAAAAAAAAACTGTATTATACTATTTATTTAAGTATTGGTATACGTGTATATTTATATGTGTGTAATATTTTGTATTAAGTCATATTTTTAACTACTTCTCATTCACACCTACTTATTTTCTCTACGTATTTGTCGGTTTACAGGTAGAGAACACCTAATAGTGTTACGTCCACTATTCTACTTTTTATGTGCAAAAAGTTTTACATAAATAAATAAAATAAAATAAACAATTGTCCTAAATCCTAATATGATTGGCACCCCTGCTCTTTTATTCTAAAAGTGTACTGTACTCAAGATTTTTACTAAAGATTTTATTTAAAGTTGAAGAAATTGAATAACTTTAAAATTGTTGAAATATTTTATTGTACTGTTTGATGACTCCGTGGCGCAGTGACCAAAGTATTGACTTCGGCGTCGGGGGTCGTGGGTTCGATTCCCCAGATAGTTGTTTCGCATCTGGGTGTTTGTCCGCGTGAAATTTATGTTTGTAAAACGTCCTTATAACACAGGATTATTTTATCCTAAAGTAAGGGCAACGTTTTACAAAAAAAAACTGTATTTATACTATTTATTTAAGTATTGGTATACGTGTATATTTATATGTGTGTAATATTTTGTATTAAGTCATATTTTTAACTACTTCTCATTCACACCTACTTATTTTCTCTACGTATTTGTCGGTTTACAGGTAGAGAACACCTAATAGTGTTACGTCCACTATTCTACTTTTTATGTGCAAAAAGTTTTACATAAATAAATAAAATAAAATAAACAATTGTCCTAAATCCTAATATGATTGGCACCCCTGCTCTTTTATTCTAAAAGTGTACTGTACTCAAGATTTTTACTAAAGATTTTATTTAAAGTTGAACAAATTGAATTACTTTAAAATTGTTGAAATATTTTATTTTTAATCATAATGCTTGTATTCAGTAATATCAGAATTGATAAAATGTATTTTTACTAGGTACTACACAAGAAGATATAACAAATATGTATATTTCCACAATGTATTTTATGTACTCTTACGTTTGTAACAACACTCACATTTGTAACTTTAGTGTTTTACAGCGTGTCTTTACAATCGCGACAATAAATGAACACACATATAGGGGATAACTTTTTAAAATTGTATTAATCATTTACATTCTTTAAAAATCAATATGTACAGAGTTATTAACTTTTCCAAAACAAACAATTTTAGAACACCCTTACCTATAAAACTGTAACGTAAAGTTCATTTGTAAAGGTCAATAAGCATATGTAAGCATTGTAAAGGTCAATAATGGGTTGAATGAATTTAAAAGAGACAAAACATACTGTTAGAAGTTATTAGTAGGTAATTCATTTATTGTCGCGATGGTAACGACACGCTGTATGTCAAGAAAACTGAAGATGCTATAACACTTGAATGAATTCATAGATAAAGAAAACGCAATATTCGTCTTATGTTATATCGCTTTTATTTTGTTTTATCGTGGGTTTATATGAGATTTTCTTATTATTTCGCTTACGCACTGTCAAGAAGGCACATTTCCATAAATGTTATTTCCATAACGAATATTTGAAGACCAGAGATGCCTTTGCTATTAAGATGGCCCTTTGCGGTCGAGTCTTGGCAATGGCGAAAAATTTTTCAGCAATTTATCTACTCATTTTCAAACAAACTCTTTGATCCGGAATCTGAATTATCACAGTAATATGATAAGGCACCGAATGTAAACATAATAATGTGTTAATAAGTATTTATTAATGAAAGGTATTATTTTTCAAGCTATTTTGCTATCTTTCATTTAAAAAAACTGTCAGTAGATGGCATTGCATATATTATTTATAAAAAGAAATAAACAAAACTGAAAAGACTCCAGGTTATTCTAGTTGATCTTGAGTTAATTCTATTTTACAAAGAATGGTGTTTGAATCATTAATTGTGATGAAGAATTGTGGAATTTATGGCGTACCGACAATAACACTTCTGAGCACTAATAAATACAGGGGTTGATGTAAAAAACTACTCTTAAATATTCCTTGAATGTAAAGAATTTCATCATATTCACCGATTTCATCTACCAGTCTCGGTATAAAAGCAAAGGCAACATCTCCCGTTCCAATGCATTGTAAAACGTTATTTGATAGATCGCAACACTATTAGAGTTACTCACTAGGTGGCACCAAGCATTGATAACATTTCAAAACACAAGTAGACAGTTGACGAGATATTTGTCGTGAGGATATCCGCTCCTTAGTTCTGTGGGTGGAATTCTTCAACGCCAATTTTTGAAGTAACAACTTTATACTTTATACATCGAGCACTTTTCGGGGAAAAAAATCATGGAACTCGCGTCATCGTCACCGAGCTTTTCATTTATTTTAATTATTGTTTTAGGTACGTACATAATTATATAATAATTATTTAAAAAAAAAGTAAAGTAACAGCATATAAATGACCCACTGTTGGGCAAAGGCCTCCTCTAGGCGGGCCCACTGTGAATTGGCGGACTTCACATATATCGAAATATTTTTTGTTATTATTTCGAAAACATGCAGATGTCCTCACGATGTCTTCCTTCACCGCTGAGTACGTGATAGGTCAGCACTTAAAATTAACAATCTCATTGGTACCGGCACCGGGGATCGAACTCAGGTTGCTCGAGTATATGGAATTAAAAGCGAGCGCCCGGAAAATGTGCTATAACTGCTAATAATAATTTTTAACTTAAAAATAATTATTAACAGTGATTTTAACATAATAGTTATTTAATTTATAAATAAATATATTATTAATTATTGTTAACTTACCTAGTTTTCACTTCTATCGGCAGTCCCCAAAGACAACCCCGTATTTTTTTATTTCAAATTTGTGCCCAGTATGCGATCGTTGTCGCACAAATTAGCTGGCAATTTTTGGGAGTCTATGCTTTTTCTGTTTCGATGAAATGTGTACCCCGCTTGATATATCCTTACAAGAACCCGACTACTCCATTACAAGATCCTTTTTCGTATAATAAGATTGCCATAATTAACTTTGGTTATGCCCGTAATACATTACTAATCTCAAGCAACTGTAATGCAAACGATTTATTTAATCCTTTTATTATTCAGGACGGTCGGATCGCTGGTTCACCTTCTTAAATCTTCATTGGGCTCTGGAATTCTGGCGATGCCAGCGGCCTTCAAAAATGCCGGCTTAATAGTAGGCGGCATTGGCACTTTTATCGTCGGCTTCATTTGCACGCACTGCGTTTATATTCTTGTAAGTTATCTTTGTCTACTTGTTTTTACATTTTAAAACGAAATTGATTTTAAATATTTTGTTCTGTTTTAAGTTTATATTCCAGACTTTCGAATACTTTATAGTGCTTATTTAGGGTGATTGTTTGGGTTGGATGAACTATTAGTGTAGATATTAGCCAGACTTAGTCATCAATTTCATGGATGATAAACATCCCATGGCTATATGTATTGTTTTAGCTCATATGGTCTGTAATACTTAACTAATGTAGCGGTGTAGTAATGCATTTCCCTTAAATTTCGGATTTTGTAACTGTATCTTTTAATCCAACGTTTTTTAAAAATTTTATCAGGCCAAAAATTCAGAACTTACTAAGTAATTACTTACTAAAAATACTTCTTATTAGTTCTTAGTTCTAAGTTTCTTTACAAGTCTTTAACTTATCCTTCTTATACTTTAATTATAAATATGTTTTGTTATCACAAAAGCCTTTGTTTAAAGCCATATAAAAAAAAAGATTTATAACACTATGACGTCACCCTTGTTTTACGCTATTCCTTAATTGAGGCATTATGAATCGCACTTACGTGCGCGTAAAAACTATTTTTCTCAAGCATAATAATTATGCAAACACGCGCGCAAAATCAACCTCAGTTTTGAAATTTTATTAACAAGTTGGTTAAATCATTAACTACTAGTAGCTCATCGTCGAACTGAAACCCTATATTTATTCTAGCTTTAGAAGAAATCCAAAAAAATAAATGAATTTACTTAGCTAATGAATGACTTATATTTATCGTTTTAGGTGAAGACATCACAAGAAGTGTGCATTGACGCGAAAAAGCCCTCGATGGGTTTCGCTGAAACTTGCGGAGCGGCCTTCGAGTTTGGGCCAAAGAGATTAAGACCGTGGGCCAACTTTGCTAGGTGAGCAAATACAATCAAAGTTTAATATAGCACCACCACTTGATTTTAATATTCGCTGTTGCAAGAATGGGCAGGTCCGTCCGGGTAAATAACAATACCTCACAGAAGACCGGAGTGAAGTGAAAGTGTGACACTTCTGCGTTTCGTCTGGTGAGTGCGGTAGCCAGGGCCCACTCTATTAAAAGGTGGCAATACATCTGCAACCCTACTGGTGTTGCAAATGTCTATGTACGGCGGTTATCACTTAGCATCACTGCCAGTTCATATAAAAAAAAATAAAAAAAAACGTGTAGTTAAAATCTTTAGAATGAAAATTCTCATCCGAGAGTTCCTTTCAAAATTCACTTTCGTCTAACAAAACGGAAACCTTTTTACTTCATCAATGTAGCTTTATAATGACCCTTTTCATTTTTTACAGGACCTTTGTGGATTACGCATTGACCTGCACTTATCTGGCCGCCCTTTGTGTTTATATTGTTTTTATTGCTGAGAACTTTAAAGAGGTAAGTCCTTCTTTATGAAGCCTAAAATCAGTTTTTATGTAACATATGTTCCATTTCAGTTTTTTTATGCATAAAACATTTAACTTAATACTGATTTAAATGAATGAATGATAAAAAAATAAGATATCTTAATATCATAAATAATCTAATGCTTTTTTATGGATCCAGCATTCGTAATCAAATATTGCAAATATTACAGTTAAATAGTTTCTTCCTCTTTATGTGACATTTATCATTTATGTCTTCAATTGAATTACTGCGACAAAAATAGACAGAACGTAATTACTCAAACGGAATATGATGTAACATTAAATATAATTTATTTTTATTTTAATGTCTAGTTTTGGGTCAGATCATACAAGAACCACTCTGCAAATATCACCGTTCTGTGGTAATTAATGCTTACCAACGATCACTCAGCGATCAGCATTGCTTATTAATTTCCATCTTAGAAAGAAAACGAAGCTATTAAAAGAGAAGGTGGGCAACGAGAATTTGGATGCACCAGATGCCAAGTAACCAGAGGACAACTCCAAGCAGAGCTCACTTACGAAAAGAAATGCAAAAATACATATACTTTCTCTTCACATCGCGTTTATTTATAAGCTTAGTACTTTCCGGATAAGACACCATTACTCCCTCGTACGTGGTAGCGCCACCGTACGATTAGGCCAGCTAGTCGTCAATGACTTCATGGAATACCAATGTGAAATGGAAGTATTATACTTTCGCGTTTCGTCTGGTGGGTGAGGTAACCAGGGCCCAATTTTGGCAACGCACATGCAACACATTTCAAATCCGGTCTGTTGTAAATGTCCATGGGCGGCGGTAATCAATTACCATCAGGCGAACCACCTGTTTTACCTTGTCCATTTTTCACATACAACAAGTCTGCAGTAGTTTTACCACATATAATATGAAACTAATCTGCAAGCTTACTAGAATTACCTTCTTGCTCGTTGAATATCACCTATTAAAGTTAAACGTTTGTATTCAGAGATTACATTTCTACTTGTCTACAGGTGTTGGACGAATACGCGCCAGACTACAAACTGTCCGTCGAGACTTACTGCGCCCTCACCCTGGTGCCGCTTGTTCTCATATGCCAGATACGAAACCTTAAATGGCTGGTTCCATTTTCGGCGATCGCCAACGTCCTGCTCGTTATATGCTTCGCTATCACAATGTACTACATCTTCGGGGAGCTGCCCAATCCCTCGGAGAGGGAAATGGTGGCGAGTGTGACACAATGGCCGCTCTTCATGAGGTGATTGTTGATAATTTATACTTATAATATAACACTCACGTTAACTACTAACACCACCATATGATCACTGATATTACAAATATATATCCACACATACATGCGCGTAAACAACACACACATCTTGTTGATCTTTTTCCTTATTTGTCCATCTCCTTACATCTGAATAATATCTCAAAATTTTTATAAGCCTTCTTATCTAAGCTTAACATGATTCCGTGAGGTAAAGACTTAGTGATCTATGTTAACACCTATAATATGTTTATTAACTCCGAACAATCACCTGACTAAATTGTATAAATTATCCAGTTTAGCTGCCCTAATCATTACATTGTATCGTCACATCTTGTAATGTTAGAAGAAATAACTACATCACCATTATTATTATTACATTGTTTTCTCATATATCACGAAATTTCACATTTAAATGAAACTGTCTTATGAATTTCATTTTATTTTACTCGTAAAGATGGATGAGAGTGTAACGAGAAAAGTCCCTTACATATCTAATTCCCCTCTTGCTTATCCGTGTCTTATGGTTTATTAATTTTTATGTGTATATCATTCCACAATTTACTATTCAAATCGAGAAGTTTCGTTCATTGCAGCAATTTACATTGCTTTAATAAAAACGTATGCGCTTAAAAATAGACTCGTACATAAATAGGTATTTATTTTCTAACCGCAGGTGTAGCTGGGAAGATCTAATCAGAAATAAAATAATATTTGAATATAAGCGAGAAATAAGTTGCCTATCATATATGATAGGTGCCTCATTAGTCCGTTATTCCGAATTCCATTGAATATTGCGAAGAGAAGGGTACAAATATATATATATATATATATACTCAACTTTATCAAAATAAGCGTGTAAAATTTAAGACGAAGACTAAGACAGAAGTAAAGCTGGTAGTTATCAACTTCCAGAAATGTACTAAATTAACGGCTCTTATTTTTTCAGCACTGTGATATTCGCGATGGAGGGCATAGGTGTCGTGATGCCCGTCGAGAACGAAATGGCGAAACCGGAGCAGTTCCTAGGATGCCCTGGGGTGTTAAATGTGGCTATGACAATTGTGATCGGCCTTTACGGCGTAGTTGGCTTCTTCGGCTACATCCGTTTCGGAGATGATGTGCGAGGAAGCGTCACTTTGAATCTGCCACAAGATGAGCTGTGAGTGCTAGTGTCAATTTTATTTATGGCAAACAATCCCTTTTTCAATTCCTGATCCAGCTTCAAATGTAACCTTAGAATGACGCTCATAATGAAAAACTTATTTTATAAATACCGAAATACTGGAAAATAGCCAGGTTCATATTTTTGACATGTCAAAAATATGAACATGGCTATTAACATGTTACAACATGTATACATGTTATCGTTGTGTGCACCTTTGACTTAACCCCTTTTATATATTTTTGGCATCTAAATGTAATTTTTTTATATTTTTGAGTCTATGTCTTTGTATTTTTGTCTACGAAGCACTTTTTGCACAATAAGATACTTATTCTCAAACTGGACAAGAATTCTTGAGGGTCAGATTTTTTCTCCTACCCAGTTGTAAAATGACTATGCTAACTCTTTTATTGAAACGGTGATAAAGAAATCGAAAATCTGCAGTGAAATGGATAAATCTGACGATTAAGTTCTATAGAATTAGATCGGAATGAAATTTCATATCTTTGTCATCATCCTTCACTATTCTGTAAAATGCAACGCTTCAGTCTGTTTCACAACGAAGGAATTCTAAGTCCGAGTTAATTGACTCATAACAACCTTTTTTACCGTAATTGAAAGAATTATGGAAAATTATAGAATTAAACAGTTATTTGTATATTTACTGCTTTTGAACTTTTAAGCCATAATTCGTAAACATAAGAATTGTCTTATTTAGGTAAAGCTGCTAAAAATTTACAACATAATATAAACTGAACATAAACAAAGCGCGACTCGTATGACGCACTTAGAATTTTGAGCCCAACTTATAAATCTTACAAACCTACCGTATATTCGTAGTTTTAAGCTAGGTGCGTTTTCTCCCTAGGCAAAGAGTCTTATAAAAAATGGCACGATTCTGTGCAGTACACCGATTTTTAAATTTGATTATGTATAATGTAATTTTGCTTTACGCTACTGCGGGGAGAGCTGCTGTAGTTATGTATATGGAATGCACTTAGATTAAATAAATATTTAAATAGATCTCTAAAAACAAATGTAGAGAATATTTATAAAACAAATTTCAACGAGATTAGAATTTTTACTAGTTCGGACAACCTTGTTATACGAATGGGCAGGTCCATCTAGTAAGTAACACGACCTCAAAGAAAACCTACGTGAAGTGGAAATGTTTTTTTCTATTATTCCTCTGCGTTTCGTCTGGTGAGTGAGGTAGCCGGGCCCCAGTTTATTAAAAGTTGGCAACACATATGCAATCCTACGGTTGTTGCAAATGTCAATGGGCCGTGGTTACCGCATAAAATCAGGTGAACCGCCTGCTCGCTTGCCAGTTTTTCACATTAAAACAAGGTTTCCCCACCAGGACTTGCATCATCTGCAAATTAGAATTTTTCCTGTAATGGCTGTTTCTTTACTTGACTTTTCCTTTCAGGTTGGCTCAGAGCGCGAAGATTCTAATGGCACTCGCGATCCTCTTTACATACAGTCTCCAGTTTTACGTGCCCATGGAGATGATCTGGCGACAGCTACATCACAAGATATCCGTGAAGTATCACAACATAACCCAGATATCGATACGTACTACCGCTGTTATTGGTTCGGGTGAGTTTCATATATAGTACAATCTATACCGTGAAGGCCTTTGCCCAGCAGTGGGACATATATTAGTTGTTGCTTTATTTTTACCGTACTAGATGACTCAGCACCCATTGTTCCGCAATACTTCGAAAGAAAGAAAAAAGTAATTTACATAACTCCGGCCGCTAGCGATTGTATACTCGACACTACGTGAACACAGGATACTGAGTTTGAATCCAACGGTTTAAAGATCCGAAAACCTCTACAACACTCTGGTAGTGAATAATACGAATTACCAACCCGAAATAATCACGAACGTTTGTCAAAAATGTCGCCTACACAAGATCCTCATCCCGTTGATAAAGGGCATAAGTAGGGCGGTATACCAAGAGTCCTACCCGACAAAACTATAAGTACCCACACAAATTAATACTATTAGAGACCAAGTTATTCGTCCTGGCCGTCTAGCAGGGCCGTTTTGCCTTCAAACCAAACCAATACATCGTCACAATATTAATGCACACAAATTCAACCATTTATAAATTTTTGACATGGAAAAATCATTGTCAGACCTTTGTCTATTTTACAAGGATACAGCTGACAAGGTCAACACTTACTCTCCTTTTGTAAGCTTTCTGTCAAATTTACATTTTCGTTTCTAATAATCACTACATAGTATAAAACAAAGTCGTCCCGTCTGTCTGTCCCTATGTATACTTAGATCTTTAAAACTACGCAACGGATCTTGTTTCGGTTTTTTCGTGCGAAACCGCGGCGGGTCGCTAGTTATCAATAAATAAAGAACTTTTTAACGTTTTATTGTACTGTCTATTCTAAATTTAAATTTATTAATTAAAAATCACGATTAAAATATTAGCCAACCCAAGTTCTATTCACAGATTTAAAGGTTTTCTCTCCCGGTATAATAAATGCTAAAGATAATTTACTTCGATTAAGGTTTTCAGATTAACAAGAAATTAATACTTCTTGTATTAATTCCTTGTTGATCCAGGGATATTAAAGAAATTAATAAAGGACCTCCGAAACCGCAAAGCGACCCTTTACTCATAATCTGATCCTTTTGTAACACAATTGCCTCTTTTCCGAAGTCCGATCGCGTCTTATAGGAAATAACTTGAATTTCTGCTCAAAGTAATCATGCACAAACAATAATCACAATGGTAAGGCCTGTACAATGAATTATCTATTACTATGAGAGACTAATGCAATATATTTGGTCATTCACAGTGGGCTATATTAATGCAGTAATATAAAATTATTTTTATCGACATTTTAATGACTTCAATGGAACAAAACATTTTGTAAATACTGGCAACATGCTAAATATTATGAAACTTAATTTTAACTTTTAAAAAATCGATAGCATATGTTAGACTTTCCTTTTTTAGATAAATGAACTTAGGGCCGTAATGTTTGCTTACTTTAAACTGACTGATATGTTTTTATGCACGACAACGTCAACAAGTCTTAAATCAGAATAAAAAAAATTGGGTGACATGTACAAGAAGGTATATACAAAATTGTTGGTATTGAATCCACAAGAATTATGTGTAAACAACAACTGTTTCAAAATGGAACGAGATTTTTTTATTTCAGTGCTATTTTAAGAACACGATTAGGCAATGACACTATTACAATAGTCAACGGGTATTGTAAAGACTGATATCGATATTCGAAATTGAAAAATTTTGCCCGTTATTTTTATATTAAGTTTTTGTTTTATTAATTAGGTTATTTTTTGTTTTACTGAGTACGATATTTTCTTCAGTCATTTGGGGTTTCAAGTGGAAGTCTGTGAAATAGATCACCCACTGAAACTCACGTTGCAAAATTATCTGGCTTATCATCTGGGAACTAGGGAACACGAAAACGAAGAAATGCACGCAATTTAAGGCGCTGGAGCTCATCAGCTGGAGCTCGCCTCTGATTTAAATTAGCGAAGGCGTTTGAGTGACATCATCCCAGCGCCCGCCTTCCATATTCTCCGAGGCCGGTGTGACCTTAGACTGTTTCATTCTCATGATGGAAGAGTAACTATCCAGGAAATCGCAATACCAACACACATCTTCCCTCGCGGTCTCACCAATAATCACCAATCTCACAATTACGTCAGCGGTGCAGCCCCGCCAAGTCGCCGAGGATGGCTAAACCGTTCCGCTCTGTGTTCCCGACACTCCACCTCCGCCTCCGTGACTCTACTTCGTTTGCAGAAGACAAGGAGAGAGGCTCCCACTCTACCACTCTCGACCTGAATCCTGCACCCTCCCAGCATGTATCTACAGTAGGCTCAATGAGTCCACTCGGAGCGGCCCTCTCGGGACAGCCTTACACACAGTCCAGCCCAGTGTGGGTTCCCCCTGGCTTCACCGTGGGAGACCAAGCCACGGCTACTAAGCCCTTCCGCCCCGAAAATGCGGGCACCCGGTGGCACAATGGTGTACGACTATGAAATTTTTACAAACATAAAGCTATTAAAATTGTTTAGCTGATTCTGTAAAAGCAATTGTTTTGTAAATGAAAACAAAATTTTATTGCAAGCTTAGTAATATATGGCGTCGTTGTTGATCAAATGTTTTTGTTTTAATTAATATCCAAAGTTTTCCGTAGTAGTATCCCTGTATACTGCAACAAACTTTAACAAACAAATTTACTTTACTTCCTAAGTGAATTCCCAGCTTACTTATTTTCATAAAATTAATATTGTATCTACGCCAAGTAAAGGCGTGTTTGGTAGTATCAAATTAGAATTTTCACCAAATTTGGACGTTTCCAAAAATGTTCCCTTAATAATTATATCAATGGTACGTTTCACGTTCGATTAAAAATACTTCGTCTTCTTCTTATTCTACCTAGCATTTATCCCAGCAATTGCTTTCCTACTTAAACTCCTCCACTTTACCCGATTTTCGACATCCTCATGGGTCAGTCCATTGGTTCTCATGTACTGCTTCACAACGTCTAGCCATCGCTTCCTTGGGTGGCCGGGAGGTCTAGCTCCCGGGACAGGCATATCAAGGCATATCCTTCCGACATATTTTTCCGACCGGCGTGTGATATGGCCATACCATCTCAGGCGCCGCTCTTGGAGCTTATCCGCTACGTGACGGACCCCGAGGCTGCCTCGGATGAATGTGTTACGTATGCGGTCAGCCCCCGTGACGCCGCACATCCCCCTTAGCATCTTAATCTCCGTGACGTGAAGCTCTTGAGTGTGCCGAGATAGAGCTGCCTCGGATGAATGTGTTACGTATGCGGTCAGCCCGCGTGACGCCGCACATCCCCCTTAGCATCTTAATCTCCGTGACGTGAAGCTCTTGAGTGTGCCGAGATAGAGCTGGCCAGCGATCACATCTAAGACTACGTTGAACAAGAACGGACTAAGAGCCGAGCCTTGGCCAACAGCGGTCCTAACCATGGACGCGGAATCGTGGTACATGTCTCTGATAATGTCGACATAGGCCTCAGGGACGCCTTTCGATCGCAATGCCCACCAGATACATTGACGAGACACACAGTCAAAGGCCTTCTGCAGGTCCAGGAATGCTAGATGCAGAGCTCTCCTTTCCTCCATGCACGCCTCCATCAAAGTTCTGAGAGCAAAAATAGGATCCATGGTGCCAGATCCCGATCGAAACCCATATTGACATTCAGAGACGGTACACTCTCGGCGAAGCCTGAGATCGATAATGCGTTCGAAGAGCTTCATGGTACATGATCTTGATCCCCCTATAGCTACCGCAATCTTGAACACTGCCCTTCCCTTTATAAATAGGGGTGATATAACTGAGAAGCCACTGATTGGGCACCTATCCAGTATTCAAGATGCGGTTGAAGAGACCAGTGAGCACGTCCACACCAAGAGAGCCCAACGATTTCCACGCTTCGATCGGTATGTCGTCAGGCCCCACCGCTTTCCGGTTCTTCATGCGGCGAAGACAATCACGGGCTTCGTCAGATGATATTGGGGCAATAAGTCCGAGGTTAGGGGGCGGTATTGATGGAAGGCTATGCGGATGGTGATTGTTTAGTAGCTCCAGGAAGTAGCTTCTCCACCTATCCTTCACAGAGGCAGGGGTGCATAGCAGCATGCCCTGGGAATCCCTGGCGCACATACATATTGTGATATCTTGCGTTGCTTTATCCCGAGCACGTGCCAGTTTGAATATCACCTTTTTCCCCTCCGTAGTTTCTAGCTTGTCTTACAGCGGTGATAAGCTTTTGCTGCGGGCTCTGGCTACAGCTGGCACGTTGGCTACTATGTACTGCACTTTGTCTTCAGGATAGTTGGACTGTTGCCACTGTCTGAATGCGGCCTTCTTTTCACGACCCCCTGAACCTTGTCATTCCACCACCATCCGTGGTATTAAACGCATTAATACTTCGTCTTAATGCGTTTAATACCATTTTTCCAATATCCATTGGATGATACAATATCCAAGCAGATATCGATCTCTTAGATCTATCTTGTAAAAATATTATTTTTTTCAGTTGCCCTTGCCGCGGCCTTTCCCGACTTGGAGCTGTTCATCAGCCTTTGCGGAGCCATCTTCCTCTCAAGCCTTGGTCTCCTCATCCCCGCTATCGTCGAGACCGTCCACAAGTGGGACAGGGGCCTGGGCTTCCTCAACTGGATTTTATGGAAGAACTGTTTCATCGGCCTGCTCTCCCTCGTTGCCCTGTTTGCCGGCTCCTACGTATCTATTACAGGTATAATAGAAAAGTTCAATGAACCCGTTCTCGAGAAACTGCTAAACGGCACCTTGAGCGGAGTTAATGACACGTTGATATTATAAGAAATGCTAAAACCGATAATTATTTTTTTATTTACGTAGGAAGTTGCAAATATGTATTCTAAGGCAGTCGCAACATTGTATTATAGTGATTTAATCCCGTTTAATTTGTGATTCGAGTCTACTTTATATAAAAGACAATATGTACAGATGAAAAGACAATGTAAAGATATATAACACATATAAGACTGTCTTACATGCAGTAAATACCTAGAAATAATGTTCAAATAAATATAAAGAGCCACAGCCAGAAATAACTTAAACTGTTTGTTTTAATATTTGGATTTATTGTTTGAAAATATTCCGACCATTGAATAATGGCCCAAAACACATATAATTATTAACTTAATATTTAATGAATTGTATGTCGCTTTGCAGGACATGCTTGGTTAGGTGTATAACTTAAAATGTAATCATGACGTTCGATTTTAAAATGAAGTTATTAGATACTAAAACTTATTGTTTATTTCAAATATGACCATAATATATTTGGATGAAAAACTAATTTATACTACGGTACTTTAAATTAATTAATATTATTCAAGGATATAGTATTCTAGTGGAAGAAATGTACAGTGTTTTTTATTTTTAAGAATTTTGGTATGATAATTCTGGTTATGATAAGTCTCCAATGTTATTAGACGTTCGATAAAAAGCAAGTTTCAAAAATCTAATCATAATGACAATAATTATTTCCAATATAGAAAGCTTTGAAAGTAAAACTGGCTGCCATTTTATAATATAAGTACCTATACACTTTTAGCTATTTACCTATTATTAAGAACTCGAAATACATTACATCGACATAATATACGACTTTATGGTTGCTTTAGAAAATCACATATAAAATCTTTCGCCATGTTTATATTTTGACAATATAGTAGTGTTGCCATCTTAGTGGTAGCCACAAAATAAAGCAAAAGTTATTGGTATTGATTAGTGACGTGCTTGTTCTATTTTTCTTTTGCATGCACTGATGGGCAGTATGACTTTTTTTGAAAATCGATATAATTATATTTCAGATAGCGTTAGTGGTCTCTTATTTCTGACAACCTAGATGTTTTATGTAGTTATAAAGAGTTGTCGTGTTAGTTTTGCCATTTTATTTTTGCACAACATTTTATCTTTCCCAAGTCCATGTAAGTCATGTAAGTAAGAATGAATAGCGTGTGTGGTTAAGAGCCGACAAGTAGAAACAGAGACACAATATCGACAAGTACAATAAATATTTACTTTTAATAATGTTACGTGAAAATAATAATGTGATACTTAGTTTTTATGACTTAGTTGTAATAATTGTATAATAAATGAATTTAAACGGATTATGCTTTTAATTATTTCGGTAGTAGTAATTTTACAAACAGAGAACAGCTACTATGGACATTCGCTTGGTTTATTACGGAGCTTAAGTGAATGTCATAGTAGCTGTAGTCTGATAACGAGCAGGGAGCGGTGAGAGCCGCCCTGAATGGCGTTTGTGGCTGTCATTGTCACCAATTTCTTGACAATGACAAAATATCGACATTTGTGTGCCATGACCGGTTGTATCTTAAGTTTTTGTACGAGATCCCATTAGAGGTATGTATAAAACTTAGTTACTAACATATATTTATATATAGTAATACCAATATCATCGGTTAAACAATTCGAGTTTAATATATGTAGATTTTTGACAAGTTATTTTTTGATTTAATGTTAAACTATTAAGACGCAGCAGATATTCGACAGCTCATATTACAATAATGCATAGTTTATAACAATGTTTGTTCAGGAAGCCTTAAGCGATCCGACTGACAATAGTGTAAAGTAATGGAGGGAGAGGGTGGTTTGTTGGTGGGTTTAAAGTACACAATGCAAAATCCACCAGCACGAATGCGTCTGCGTCTTACACTAATCCAGCATGAACAAAATATTATCAATCATTCTTTTGTATTGTGTCCGGTTGATGACTGAAAGCCCTTTCTCACTCTCTAACGTCTGTTAGAGAGTCTAAAGTCGCTTCACCTAATAGAATAGCAGTATTGGTGTTCTATTAGGTGAACTGTTTACTCAGTTGACATTAAGTTGACATAAAAAAAGAACTTTTCAATGACCACCGTAAGTTAAAGTATTGTATTGAATAAATCATTGGGCAAATAATAGTCTTATTCTTCATGTAATAATCAATGTATTACATTGTTTAGGGTAGACGCCTTGTGGAACAACCTCCAAATGTTATGATTAACACATTAGCGTCAAACAAACATCTTGGTACAAATGCGTAAGAAAATACAAAAAATTTAACTTGACCTTTGCACATTTTTTTTAGGGGAAAAGTAGTGAGTAGACAGTTCACCTGATGTTAAGTGAATACCGCCGCCCATGGACATCTGCCATACCCGAGGGTTACAGATGCGTTGACAACCTTTGGAAAATTGGCCTTTGGACATCTTGGAACTAGCGACATTAGATCGGTCAAAGAAGTTATGGCTTATATTCTGGGTCACATAATTAAGCTGCAAAAGACAATTATATATACGCAAGCAAAATTACTACGTTATGGTAGTAATTTAGAGTATTTTAGTATATAGCTATCTGCGTATCGTACGTAATTTTAAGGAGCTCATAATAATTTGAAATTAAATTAAATGAAATTTATTTATTTTCTAAAGTAATAACAATATAGACCATTATTTACTATATATTATTAAGGTAAGTAACAATGACAGAATATGTACTAATTACATTATGGCTTCAAAACTAGTCAGTGTCTGTATCATGGAAGCCGGAGTGTCCTTCATATAAAACTTTATTTAACAAATGGTAAAAAAATCAGACGGTAATTGAAACTTCATTTTCGGTTACGTTTTAGATTTAGTTAAAACTTCAGTTTATGATTAAGTAAAAACAATTATTATATTTAAATTAAATTTCACATTTGTGTAAATCTATATTCCAGTACAGTGTATGTGCCTGAAGTAACTAATTCGCAATATCTTTTTAATAAACGATGTCAAAAACTATGAAGATTTTGGAAGGGAAATATTTTTATTGTTAACTACACATATATTAGCAACTTTAAAGGTAATAATAATTACTTAGTACGAACAAACGGAAGACTATGACTTTTTTTCGAGGAAACAGAAGTCATTTATGGTATAAAGGTTTCCTGAGAGAAATTGCTTTTAGTACAAGTATAATTTTAACCAAAAAAAAAACAGACTTCAATGCCCTCGATTTCTCTGGGAAACCCGGATCTGATGATGATCAGATCCGGGTTTCCTTATCATGGTCCCACCCTTGGGATATCCCCTTTCCAACAAAAAAAGAATCATCAAAATTGGTCCATGAACGACGAAGTTATCCGCGAACACACATAAAAAAATAAAAATATATACGGTCGAATTGAAAAAACCTCCTTCTTTTTTGAAGTCGGTTAAAAATACATTAATTATAGATCGGGCATGGTTAGGCCAAGCCGCTAAAGAAAAGTTGGTCATCATCATTTACTACCTAAAAAAAATTGTATTAGTGTTATAAATCCACAATACTTCGCAAGCCTAATATCTTTATAGCTGCTGTAATTTTTAAAGAATAGTTTACATCTGATTTTCTCAATACCTTCATAAGTTTTCAACTAGTTTGAAGTTTTCTCAGTGTATCGAGTGTTCTATTTCTTCCAAGAAAACAGCTCCAATAACTTCTTTAAGCTGCTAACTGCTAGCAATTAATCACAACAGTTTCAGTAAAAAGTTTTAATCAGTTAATAATTTACAGACGCATTATACAGAAAAAGTTACATATATTACAGTCATATCCTTGACAATCTTTGATTTTTGACTTATTTTTTATTTCAGCAAATGTTAATGGTTACTTGTCTGGGCGCCATATTAGAAAAAGTGAAAGAATTATATACGTACATATCGTGATCCTGTCCTTTATTTCTCAATTTTAGGGAAATTACAAAATATTATTTAAAGTCCAAGCTATGTAATTTATAATGGAACCAAGTATGTGTGGATCTGTTTTGTATAAAATGACATGGTAGTATGCAAATATAGTTTATTTGTTTGACCAATCGAGTCCCGTTGTACTGTGGTTCGGATTGGCTTTATATGTAATGTTCTTTATTGCAATTGGTTCTGTTCTGCTTTTTGTATACCCTGTTTACTTTTCTTAGTAAAACCTTAATCTTTTATCTCATCCCAATTTCTTTCACAAATTGAAAAACAATATCGTAAACAAATTAAAATTTCGTTGCAAACAATCTCAGGTTTTTTATAGAGATTATTTTCTTTTTACTTGGAGAACCCTTCGAAATGTTTATTTAATATTTATTATTTTGTTTATGAAATATTTATGTAGTTACCAATAGTTTAGGATAAAATAATCCCGTTTCCCACTAGGTTTTTCAAAGCACTAAAGCTAGGGCCTCGCAACATTCTTTGCTGTTGCACGAATGGGCAGGTCCGTCTGGGAAAGTACCACTACCTCACAGGATACCAGCGTGAAGTCGCAACCGACAATACACACACAACCAACGCCAAACAGCACATATCAATAGCAATATGAGTTATGTAAAATCTAAATTATCGCAAGTGCTTATTTCTAGTTATTTAAGATAACTCTTTCACAATTCTGCGACAGCAAGGCGCAGACAGATAATTAAAAAAAACGTATTATAAACTAGAACTGTCACTGCTGATTCGCCAGTAAGCCAAATGTAGACACGAAATCCGTAATTAAACAAGGCTTGCCAAATATGTCTGATGTCAACATTATCAAGTATTCATGTAAATTGGGCCAATGGCGCACAACTTATAAGAGCTAAAAAGAATGGACAGCCAGACAGGGGATTAAGTTTTATGATATGTTAATAAAGGGTACTCGGGAAACTGAAGTAGTTAGTAGACTATTCCTAAATTTCAAATTACAAATAAATGCTAATATTTACATCTTGATAAGCCGATAATTATAACTGAATTAGCTATCTGATGTATTTATAAATAATAAAAATATAC